TACAAAAATAAAGTCTTAAACTTGATTGTATTGGTTTATTATTGTTTTTCTACAATGAATTCATGATCCTCATGTTCTAGTAACTGTTGCATATCTGAAATCTCTTCTAATGAATTCTTAGTGGTTATTTTGATATTGTCATAATCAAATTCATTCTTCAGCTCTTCTACAAGTTCTCTGAATTGCAAATTCTTTAATTTATCCCAAGAGAAGCAAAAGGAGGAATTCTTTCCCTTTCTTCTGAATTCAATGCTAACTTTAAGGGCATCATACTTCTTCAAACTATTCCATTCTTGTTCAACCTCTGCAACTGTTCGTTTTGCTGTTGTCTTTAAATCTTCCCAAATTACATCTCTTATTTCTGACATCATGTTTACACCCCAAGGTTTCAATTGGTGGATATTATTTATAGCTGGGTCAACTGAGGTCAAAATTACTCTTGAAATATCTACACCAAGTTTGAGGGAACATTCCCTTCTTGTGTCATCAAAATGGTCTTTTGTCATATTCATGTTTGGCTTATATAACGCATCTGCCTTGTTCATTAAAACAATGAATCTGTGATCATTACTTTGTTTGATAACATTGATATGTTCTTTGCATTCTTCTTTATCACATTTGGAAAGGGCATCGTATACAACAACAATATAGTCCAATAAAAAACGAGAAGTAATAAATTGAACTTTGTGGAGATGATCCTGACTTTCATAGTGTGGGAAGTCCCAAACAGCAAAATTGGATGAGTTACTTGTTAGTGGGTATGCTTGAATTTCAGTTGTAGCTATTATACTTGAGGCGTTAGCATTTCTATGAAGGAACTTTTCGACAAATGTTGATTTTCCACATTTCTTCATTCCAACAACTCCAACGTAGAAGTTTTTCATCAATTCTTGTCTGATTTGATAGTTAATACACGCAGATTTCAACACTCTCAATACTTTCTTCCTTTCGGAGACACTGACCCAACCAATGGTAGACCCCTTTCCGAAAACTTCTGACCAGTGGTCAAGAATGTAAGCATTATCATCATACTTCAATAAATTGGTGCGAGTCCAATCAAAAATCAATTTTTCAAAGTGATACAAAGTAGGTATACTGTGTGAATAGACTATATAAAAGCTGTCCATGAATGTTTTAAGATTTTGCTCATAATCTAATACATCTCTATTCTTCCTAACATAATTGGCCATAAATGCTGCAAAACTTGCCAAGCTCACCACTCCTGTTGCTATCAGAGCACCAATTGCAAAGAGGTTTATGCCTGGGACGAAAAGTAAACCAGAACAAACACCAGCGCTAATACCAAGGCCTGCTGCACTGGCTCCCATTCCAATCTTTTCAGAAAACATTTCCTTAATTAAGGAACATTGAACTGAATTATGGTGGAGAACTGTTAAAAATTTCTTATCAACTAAATCTCTAAAAGTCAACGATTCTTCACTCAATTTAGCTGTTTCAGTGGAAAATGAAAAGTTAAGATGGAACAATTTACCATAATCTCCAACTTGCTCGTTTGTTCCCTCAAAGAACATTCTTAATAGTTTCATATTCAACTCTTGACTGTCAATATTGGATTTTGGAATTGTACTCCCTTCATTGAGTTCATCAAGATCTCCGAGTAATCTGAGTAAATTGCTTCTTTTCGCTCTTATCGATTCATCTTCAACTTTGCTGGTAGCGAAAATAAAACTCAAAGCATACATATACAAGAGGTCAACTGGTAACTTGGAAATTTTCTCCTCCTTTACACTTTGTCCAACTTCTGGAGTTACATGGCTAACAGGAAGATCCCAAATAACAGAGTTGAAATGGGTTGTAAACTTAACTTGTAGGTATTTGACATGCAAAGTATTATGTTTCCAAAAGTCTTTCACGATTCCGCTTAGGCAATAAGTAACACCATTCATCTCATCACGAACACTCACCTGCTGACAAATAGGATTGATAATCTCAACCTTTGTAATGTAATTCACAAATTTCTTTGAAATTAGTGTCAAGTTTACATCAACGGTAGCTTCATTTACAATCAGACGAACAGAGTAGCACTCCTTTCCTTCAAAGGCATCTGCATTTTCATCTTGCTTCTTAACCCATCTAAGAGGAACGAAGGACCAATTTTCTGGAACATGCAAATCTTGCATTTTTTCTGCTTTCTTATTGAAATAACCTTTGAGAAAGCAATCTTTTTTGAATTCAAAACAGTCACAAATCTTCAACACCTCATGAAAGTAATTGGTCATTTTGTGGTGTTGAATCATTTCCAGTTTCTCTCTACTGAACATCTCTGCCAACTTGTCGCTTAAATCGTAAATTTCCTCTTGATGTTCAGTAACTATTTGCTTATTGTTAGAATAGGAAATGTGAATGTGATTACCAAAAGGAGAAAACTGTGGTGCATATTTGTGAATTACCTTGGCAATTACTTTAGAAAACCACTGGAAAACAGATATACCAGAATTAATTATTTCTGCTCTATGAACCCTTCCTGTAATACTGGAGATTGCCGACACAACAGTTTTTAGAAAGTTTGACACTTGGTCAATCAGATCTGATTCAGCAGAAAGACTGATAATTTCACTAACAATACTAATAGATCTTGGAACACAATCTTTTTCGTTGATATAAAAATGGAAATAGTTCGACTGTTCATCTTTTAGAATTCTTTCTTTGAACTTAACATCAGCCAGCAAGGGAACTCCAAAACCAATGAATTGAATTGGTGGTTTCTTGATGGCCTTTGCTTCAGTAGCTTGCATCAATCGCGTTGCAAGGATGGCCCCAACTGCTCCACCCATGCTGTGTCCAGTAATAACAACTTGATAACCTTCGTTAATCTTTTCTAAAAAGTAATCAAGTGGAATGAATTTGGCTCTTTCCAAGAAGCCACTATGTAAAACGCCATATCCATAGTAATTCATGGCAGGGATCAACTTTACATCTGTCAAAATATCAGACTTGGAGTAGGAACCTCTAATTGCTACAACAATTCTTTTACGATTTTCATCAGAACAATCAGCCACAACATATCTTGTTTCAAGTGTTGCCTTTGCGTCCATATCATTAGTAATACTACTACATAGTTTCTTGATACCATGCTCAAATTGGGAATACTCCTTGTTTAATGTGTACAATGGATCAGGCATGTACGAAATTTCACAAGCAATGGCACAAGTCAACAACAGTTGACAGTATGACTTTGCGTCTGAATAGACCTTGTTATCTTCAGATAATACAGATTCAAGAACCATTGGTT